GTTGTCCGAAATCGGAGAAATTATGGAAATTGTAAATTAAAATTAGAATTATAAATCAAATTATTGAAACACAAATTCCATTTTTAAGCAAATACTAATTTCTCATTTAGGTATTTATTTTTTCCGGTTTCCCGAATTTAAAAATAATAAATGAGGACATGATCCTGTTGAGCCAGCTTCCCGACAATAGCGTCCAAAGTACTCGTACACCAAATTTCAAGACGATTGGCCACTTTTAAACAGAGTTAATAGCCCACACGAACGGACAGACGCACCAAAAATTAAAAGCTATAAAATTATCTGGGTATCTGAACTAAGAGTTATAGCGAACAAAGACGAACGGCCGGACAGATGGACGGACAACCATACAAAACTATACAGGTTCTGAGGATCCTTAATAAATCACGTAATTAAATTTACGTTACGTTGCCTTACCAGCATCCTAGAATATAAATGTACTCGTGTAGATTTGGTAGAGTTGTCAATATAACATTTTGGTTGGTGATATACCAGAGGTTGACAACCGTTTGCTGTACAAGGGCCAAATATTTTACGGGGAGAGTAGTGCAGGCCGCACTTGGGTCACAGCATACCTAAAACCTACAATATTTATGTACAAATATTTGGGGTTAAAAATTTAAAAACTCCTATTATATATTTTTATATTATTTACTGAATATTATTATAAATTTACATTTTTTAGAGTTTATAAAAAAAATGAGATTTTTGCGGTTGAATTAGTTTTGCAAGTTTTTTTTAAATATTAGCTTGCATGTTTCAAGTAGAGTAGAGACGGGAAGTATTGAAGTCTGAATGTGAATCCGATAGCCGAGAACAATGTTTATTTTATAATAGTTTAGAATTGCAGTTGTTCACTCACAAGTATATTGTACTACCATTGTATAAACAATAAACATAGTAGGTAATTTAGTCTCTGAGACAACCTTTTTTATTTCTTATAGTTTTCAGAAGACAAACGTCCATTCTGTAAATCGGCTCGCGAAATTGGGTAGATTTCGGGAAAAAGCGGTAGGTTCAAAATTATACCTATGTTACCTATTTAAAGTAGAATTTATAAAGCGAAAGTATTCAGACTTACCGTATGTGTACCTAAATCAAATAGGTAAAGCAAAGTATTAATGAAAATTATGTTGCTACGAGAATCTTGAGGGCCTGAATTGGAATGATTAATTAATCAAGAACAAGGAGTCAATGCGACTGTAGGGATGGAATTGGAGGCAAATTTTGCCTTATGCCCTGTACACAGCAGGGGTGAAAATTTATTTCCCTCACTGGGACAGTGGAAATCCTCTTAATATCGAGACGTTAGCCTTACGGGCCGTGGCGGATAAAACGTTTTTCATGGGAATCGATAAAGCTAGAGATCAATCGCTGGCCTTAAATAACCAAAGGTTCAAAGTGAAGTGAATGCAGTCCATCAGATCAGAGAGAAGTAATCAAGAATATGATGAACGTCTTTTGGATGAATATGAAGCAAACATTAAAGATGAATTTGGAAAAATTTTATAATTTTGCCGAAGAGTATAAATCGAAATATATGTTGAAACATATTTTCAACTTAAACAAGAGACTTGATTACACTGATTCTATACCAACATCTTACATTGCAAGAAGGTCAGTAGACAAAAGGCTTGCGAGCTGGTTACATGTAGATCGTCCATCATTGAGCAAGGCCAAATTAAGAAGCATCTAAAAAAGATGAAATTCCTAGGGCGAAAAATATACATTTTAACTGCCCAAATGCAAAATTGCATTAATCGAGCCTTTGAGTAATGCGCAATTTTGTGCTTACCTTTTTATGTACTTAATGCATAATATAATACGTTTATTAGGTACCTATCCACAATCAGTATCATATACCAAGTAGCGTGACCATAGTCTAAGGAACGGGAAGTTCTTAGTATGCCCCGTTTTCTAGCGAGTTACAGCACTCGGTAGCGTTCACCTCGTACCGCTTATCAGTCAAAGCTACCCCGGTAAACTTCAGACCGTCAAACGTAAAATCCTGTTTTTTCCCAATTTCTATATACCTACAGACAGACGGACAATGTTTATTTCTGTATAACTAGAAAATATCGCGAGCATACCTCCAACCATTTATACCAAAGCTTCATCGCAATCGGATGAACTGTTCAGGCAGGCATAGGAGACATACAGAGAAACACTCATTTATTTTTATTTATATACAGGGTGTTGCATGACATAACAAAAAAATTTAAGTCGATATTACGATACTTGCAATAATGCTTATTTATTGTAACGGCACTCTACTTAAAAAGTATTTTCCCACCACCCGCAGCCACCGAAGGTTTGGAATCGACTTGAATACCATGATCGACATATCGAATTTTTTGTGATCATTTAATCATAATATCAACTTAAATCGTTATTTTTTTGTTATTTGCAACTACATGCGAAATTACATCTCTCACTAGTAGACGGAGGACAAATGAGTAGGTAGATATAAATTTTGTATGAAAAGATATTTTCAAAAACTGTTCGATTTTATTCCTTAATCATCAAAGTATGTGTACAAGAAATGTCGTGGAATTCTCTCCGTTTTCGTTGTCCGGCCAAGAATTGCGGTGGAACTTTTTTTTCGAATTTTCAAAAATCAATTCCATTTTCGTGATTTTCATGTTCAAAAACCCCCAGAATAATCGGATAGGGTATACCCGAAAACCTATTCAAAGACGTGCCACACATCTTTGTAACACTTATGGTTGCTGAGAAAAAAATTAGAGAAGAAATCCAAATTTCACCACTTGTTTGGGGGTGACTTCCAAACGAAACACGTTGGACCCTCGGTTTATTTGGAAAAACCAATTTTTTACATACGTTCATGTAACACCCTGTAGATCTAAGATCAAGTAATAACCATGGCTTCTAGGAGAGTCAGTTTACATTTTTCACTATCAATGACCGTTTTCTAAATGACATTGGGTTTACATTAAAAGTTTGGGTCTTTTTAGTCTAAAGTGGTCCCTAAAACTGAGGCTCATGTTTAATTGAGTTTTCACTAATCAAGAAGCAAAATCCAACAATCGTCTAGGATTTATAACCACAATAAGCACAAAAGTTTAAAAGTGCGAGGAGTGAAAAAAATATTGCTATAACTTTTTTCGTAAGTGGCGCAGAAAAAGTTCTTTCCTGATGGGTGAAGAGCCACCCCATATAACGAATCATATAGTGAAATGAAAAATTTTTTACCTACTACAAGTTTTTTAGTAATAAACGAGAAAACGGTTCCCCAGTTATAACGATACCATAACGAACCAAATAGCGAAAAAAGTAGAACAATGGCTACGTGCGTATTTTACTATTGTGATGAATTTACTAGATTAGTGCATAGGCATTTATCTATTTTTGAGGGATTAATGATTGAGCATTTTGATATTTCGTAGTTCGTAAAAATCGAGTCTCTCTGGCGACAATTGTTAGGTACCGGTGTATAGTAAATGTCAACAAAATCCATCTGCAAGATTATGGTGTGGTGAGTAATTATGCACGTACCTGCAGTAACCAAACAGACAGGTAGCAGAGTGGGCGATCGGTACAGGCAACACGACTCTCAAAAACGAGCTTTGGCTAAAGATTTCACTACTTACTAATGCCTTACCTACTTAACATTCTAGCAGGTAATGCGTAAACGGAGAAGAAATCGATTTATATCGCTCTAAAATCTACGGATATAAGGGAAAATATTTAATGACTGTATAATTGTTATTTTGTGTGGCGATTTTCCGTTAAAAGTTTTTTTCTGCGAAATTCTTTAGGAACAAATATTTCGGAGGAGAGAGACTTTATTGTTACGCAATAACCTACATGGAACTATACCTGGGGGAGGAATACGCCGGAGACAAGTTCTCCGAGAGGAATCTTCTGGGACGAAGTTTTTCCTTGGAACGAATATTCCAAGAGCATATGCACTATTGTCCCCAAATCAGCATTATACCAAAACCTTCTATTGCGGTTACACAAGTATAATTCACAAAACGATATACTTAATAATAGGTAAAGAATAATCGCCCAGTAACTTTAATTATATCGCCAACCATTAAGTACTTTAGTTTTAGCTCTTCGAAAGCCTATTTTTACTATTAACAAAATAATCTTCAAATGTTATTGTTGAAAGGGAAGCTTAATCGCAATCTAGAATCTTGGAATTGTTTAAATTTTTAGATAAACCTGCAGGTAACATCAAAAGTGTGTATAGATAGGTAATTATAAAAGTCTTCCTTTCGCAGTTTGGAACAAATTTAATTAAAGCACCCCCTTCTATAATGCCAAAGCGCACTCATTTCGAATTCTACCTGCGTCGAAAATTAATTCGAAATTAGATATGAAAACATGTACCTTATACCGATGCGACATCTCAAAACCAAAACATGTATATAGGGGATTTTTATAGGTATATACTTACGTGAATCGAAAAAATGAATTTTTAGTTTTTACATATCTAGTAGTAGGTACCTAATAGGTAACTAAATCTAGTTGATGATCATGGATTAACTTCACGTAAATGCATTTTTAAATTCTCATAGGTACCTATAGACCGGCCTATAAATATGAGTAGATCTCGGAGTAGGTACGTAGGTATTTCATTTTAAGTTCACAAAAATTTGCCATAGGTAAGTATGGGAAAGCAAACTTGCATTGATATTAAACAGTATTGAGATATAAATAAGACTTGGGATATTATAACAAACTAGGAAGTCGCCTCCACTTACTTTGAATGAAAAATCGTACTAAGGAATATAATCAAAATGTAAAAATTTTTCTATTTCGTGATATGAACTGAATTTAAATTAATTATAATGTGATCGTTTGGTCGAAATTCAACCTAATCCAATAATTTTGAGGGCTTTTATGACATTACCACAAAAATTTATACTTTCAAAGAAGTAACTGCAGTGAACTGAATCCCTTGATGGTAGAACAATAAAAAGGCACATATTAAATGGATTGAGCGCAACCGATTGTATTCATTATTATAATATATTCAATAAATATACATACGTGCTCATTGATACATTCAAATATACGTCTACATATACACTATGGTACAATCAAAAATGTTTTGCATCTATATACAGGGCACGCCCGGCCTTTGCATCTCATAGGTATCGCTCTCACAACAACCATTTTCTAAATGCATTCGATTAAAAAAACTAATAAGATAATAGGAACCCGAAAAATAAACAAAAATCAAAAAATGAAAAATAAAAAAAAACTCTAAACTAGTAGGTATTATCACATTGAACAAAAACTATTCGCACAAGCTCAGTCTTGGTGTATTTTACAAGAGGACGACCTTTCAGTATTTTTGCGCGACGCACTCCTGCTGGTGATGGTAGTACGAGGAGGGCGTCGGTCGGTAATTCGACGGGCTGGATGTGTGTCGAAAACTGGCAAGCTGGCAGCTGGGTGGTACGTTTTCGAAGATGATGTCGCGGTAGCCCGCCGTTACGGAGGAGTCCGGCGACGTTTCCGGGCTGTACCAGGGGCTGTTGTAGCGCGGCGTCTCCTCCGAGATGTACTGTTGAGGGGTGGCGCTCGGGCAGTAGGAGTACATGCCGCCGGAAGCGTGCAGACGGGGGTTCGAGTACTGGTCGCGGTTCGTCATTAAACTATCGACGCTAAAGGCGGCGGAGGCGTCGATGCCTTGCAGCGAAGCGGTGACGTCGCCGAGTATGTGATCTTGGTGCACAATTACGGATTTACCCTCGTGGTATTTGCCCATGCAGTGGGTTAGTTCCGTGTTGGGCTCGCGCTTAGGTTTACATTCTAGTTTAGGTTTTGTTATGTCTAGGGGCTTTTCATCACGTTTAGGAACTGCGTCGGGTTGTAGCTGCTGGCGCTTGATCGCCTCTTCCTTTTCCCGCACGGCGTCCTTCTTCTTGAAGCGCCGTCGGCGTCGCAAGTACGAGCCGTTGTCGAACATGTTGTACGAATCGGGATCTAACGTCCAATAACTACCCTTGCCCGGTTTCTTATCGTCGCGCGGAACTTTCACGAAGCACTCGTTTAAACTTAAATTGTGCCTTATCGAGTTTTGCCATCCCTGCTTATTTTCGCGGTAGTACGGGAAACGTTCCATTATAAACTGATAAATTCCGTTGAGGGTGATTTTCTTATCGGACGCGTTTTGTATTGCCATCGCGATCAGGGCAATGTAGGAGTAGGGTGGTTTGACCATGTCTTTGGGAGAGGTTAGCTGGTGTTGCTGATGAGGTGGCCATCCCGGATATCCGTAAGGGGAGTATTGCTCGTAGGGGTAGTGTCCGGTGGTGGCCGCAACAGTTGTCGGATATCCAGATGTGGGATGTTGGCGGTAATAGATGCGGTTCTGATGGTCGCCGAAGATGGGGTGCATATCTGCACGGAATGGTCGAATGCGATCCGATTGAATGAAATCCACGGTTTTGATATTATAAAAATATACAAAATTGTTTTAGTTCGGCACCACTTGTTGGATAAACAAAGAACGAAGGTAAAAACAACAAACAAGGCGAAGCCGCGCGCAAAATTGAAGTATTAGAAATTTTCTAAAAGAAAACAGTTCTGTTAGTTTAGTAGTGTGTGTGTTTTGTGTTTTCAGTCCAATCAATCTCTAAAAACAAGTTTGCGTTCACTTAATATTATGATACACAACATAGGGCAGTTTACACAGAGATTAAGTAAAAACAGAGTATGTTGCTTCTCGCCGGGACACAATGTTACTAGTGAAAACAGATGGGGTCCACGGCGGCGGTTGCCGAATTAGTAAGCGGCAACGGGTGCGGGGTAACCCCTGCGCAAACTGTTAAGCGCCCGACACGCCCGTGCTTTCGCCACCAATCCCGTTTTCCTGGTACCCGCCTTTCCCGGATCAATCCAGCGTCACCGGACAACCATCGCGGTGCCGCTTTGTTCGACGAACGCCACTTTTGTCACCCCTCGCGTCAACACCCACGCCTACAACGATTTTTTTTCTCACGCTCTTCCTAGCAACCGAAATGGAGGAAAGTCGCGAAAGCCGGTCCGATTTAATATCGAAACCGAAATGAAATTCCAACCCTCCAAAGAGATTATGATTAAAGAGAGCAACGGCCTCTTAGTTTATTTTTGCGTCAGATCTAACCGACAAAATATAATAGTGTTGTATACCTTGGCAGGGCCACGGATACATCCCGTTTCCCGGCGAGGACGAAACGCGCGCCAGGGAAAACAATGTCGAGATTCATATAAACGAACCATCATGTTAACTATCTAGTTCAGTACGCGGATACACCTGAATCGTTACCTATCACCAAGCTTTTTTCCCGCTACGACCACGTGCACGACCCGCGGGATAAACTCAGTGAAACAGTTAACACCCTGCATTCATGCTGGCAAACAAGAACACAAATCCCGAAGCATTAAAGGATTTAAAAATCATCTCGCCACAACACAAACAAGGCCGTAAGTAGACAATATAAGCGATTATAAGTTTTCGAAAAATTTCTGACAGGAAGTTGCCTCGCTGTCGGAACTCGCCTCTTAGAGGAAATCTCTTAATCTTGCGGGCGTGCTTACATCATTCTTAGAATGCACCTGAATATACTTTAAATAAATCATATCCCGTTTGTCGGTTTCTCACACGACTTTATAAGAAGAAAAGCGCAATTAATTGATTAAATAAACAGACTTATCCAAAATACATCACTTTCATTTCTAATTATGTAGGCGTTGCGACGGTAATTAAGGGATCTTCCGATTTGTATTTCATACGTAAATCGTAAACAGCATTAATATCTCACGGGAATTTCATGTACGATTTAAGAAATAGACAAAATTTGAGTCAAAAAGTGAATTAGGTGCCCATGGAAAGTGCTAAAGTTTAACTGCAATATTTCCCTTTTAGGAACACTGCAATTAGGTATAACACAAATAAATTACAAACCTACATCAGGGCTATAAGATGTCGTAGGTACTTAAGTTTTTTGCGCGGCTCTAACCTTTTGGAGCAAAAAAAACTTTTTCACCCCAAAAGACGGTTTCTTCACTCTAAACTGTTGCGATCTCCACGAAACATTAAAATAACAAATCCAAAATTAATCTTTGAATTCCCCAAGAATGTATAGGTACCAAGTTATAGGTATTTAATTCTTTATATTACACATAAACAATTTTTAAAGGCAATAATTTCCCACGGATGGACGTACTAGTTCAGTATATAAGTGCATTGTATTGTATGAATATGGAAAGTGCGTATTTGGAACAAGTTCACTGCCCAATGAAAATCAATAGGTATGTATAATAAATATGTGTCTAAGTAATGGATTTACTCCAGGGTATAGGAACAAAACACCTTGCGTAACTTAGTATCTATACTGATGATTTGAACAGAAACTATAATAGCTCCTCCGATTTTTTTCTCTGAAAATTTAACACTCGCTACTGAGAAAAATTTTTTATATCCGCCAGAATAATCTCCCATAAATATAGGTACCTAATAGGTAATTTTGCCCCAAGAAAATCGCGTCATTGGCTTATGTGCAGCATACCTATATGTAATAAACAAGTAAATAAATAATAGAAAACGAGCCCCTGGGTATGGCTATAGCATGTGCAAAACCAAATTTTGAACCTGGTGTTAGTTTTGCATTTATTTAAAGCGTCCATTTAATAAACGGTTTTAAAGCGTTTTGAAAGGATAAATTCGGTATTGGTAGTATGGTATACGTTTTTTTTTGGGCCCAATTTCATACCTTACGTTTAAAATACGATTTTTATTCGTATATATAAGCTACCTACTACCGGGTGATCGGAAAGTAGTGCGGACAGTTTGAATTTCCCACAAAACTAAACATTTATAAAGTTGGTAACATACCAAATGTCATTTATTTAAAAGCAGTGGTGGATCAATTTAATGGATCACTAAACAATAATCACAATTAATTAATTAAAAAAAATTAATTTATCAAGCTCAGTTGCACGCTCGGGTTCATGTATTCAAATATGTATTCCAACGTTGCCCGAGCAATAGTCATGCTAATTAAACCATCACCGTAAGGTTCATTTCATTTGCCTACATACAATAAGACGTATCCACGTATTCTCATAAATTAACGTCATCAACACTGGATGAAAACATTCCGATATCAATGTGTAAAATTTTGTGCCACATATTATGCGATAAGTCTGTAAAAATATCAAATAGGGATGTTATCGTTCACATTGTTATACCCACCAGAATCATTAGAGTATTTTCGATAACGATTTCTTGGGGCTACGTTTTTATTACACCTTCGACATCATGGTAAGTAGCACATTTATCGTTGAATTGCAGTAAGCACAGCTGAGCCGAATATGAGCATCTTTTAAACATGTACGCCTTTCAATTGTGCATCAAAAGACAAAAGTGCATCCCCTTTAAAAAGCCTTTATGCCTAAAAAGTAAGGTTACATGATCCTTATAAAGTATGTTCTCTTAATGTACGTACCTTTACGAAATGATGCACGTGCGAAGACCTTTTTAAAAAGAGCTGTTTGCTTTGAAACGCCTGGATCACAGTACGAAGATTAGAAAATAAAATTCACATAAAAAAACTGCGCCAATGGATGGCAATTAATGCATAAATAAACCAACTTCTAAACATGTTTGCCAATTCCCTAAGTAAAAAACACTAAAAATTTAAAGCGCCAAATTTAAATTGTCTGCAGTTTTTTTCGATCACCCGGTATAAATGCGTTAATTGCTTCCATAAATAAGAAAGTTGGCACTGCACATCATGTACAAAACCAAATTTGGAGACTGGCGCTACATCTGCTTTTATTCCAAGTGGCTATGTTTCAAATTTCTATTAAATACCTTCATAAACTTCATTCACACTTCCTGTCTGTACTGTGAATCTAGAGAGTTCAACGGAATAATATTGCATAGTTGCATACAGGAAGGTGGCATTGATTATTGCCTATAGAAGATTATAGTTAGTTAGTAGCTACAAGTGGAAGACTATAAGGGTCGAACCTGTTGATATCAAAATGTAGCTTTATTATTATATTTAAATAAAGTACTTAAATAAAACCCAAGATAAATCATTACATGGCGATCCTGCCATCCTGCAAAAAACTACCTTAAAAATTTAAATTTACGTGGAAGCCGAGTGGAAACACTACACAAATTTTAACACGAAAAGTTTAGATCGAAGGGTTAGGAGAGAACTAGAGAAGTAGGCACTAGGCAGGAGTAGGTAGTTAGCGGTGACTAGACTAGAAGCCAAGGAACGAGAAATTGACCATGGAAGATGGAAGCTGCATCCAGCATCACGACCTCGAGCGATAGTGTCTTCGACTTCGAGTGAGTGCTGGGGTAGTGAAATAGTGAAAAGAAAAAAATTAAACTGCGTAATGGAAGAAAATTTGGTAAATGCTAGATACATAAGTTATAATTAAGTAATAGCATTGAATAAAAACACTTTTTATTCAATGGTAATAGGTACAGATTTGTTTTTTCTACTTTAATAAGTAAATGGACACAAGCAAGGCAGTTCAATATTTTAATGAGTTAAAGCAAATCAGAACGTATTTAATAAAAATAGGTCCAGAGAGACGTAAGGGAGATAATTTAATCAAAAAAGTAGAGGAAGCAAGCTTAATTTATAGTAAGGTTAAAGAATTAGCTGCAGTAAGAATAAAAAATTCTAAGTTTAGTAGTGAGGAAATTTCATTTATACAAAATTTTGTAAGCACGCGTAAGTTATATACCGAAATTTTAAATTTTTTGCCTCCGGACGTAGAAATAAAATCTAATAAAACTATGGCCACTTTTGACTTAAAAACGGCAGTAAGTTTGTTGCCTGTTATGGACAAAATAAGGAATGTACCTACCTACTACAAAACAATTGATAGACGCAATCGAATTGTACGTGTCAATGCTTAATGATGAGGGCAAACGTCATTTAATAAAGTTTGTTTTAAAAACGCGATTGTCTACAAATTATGATAGTGTGCAAAATCTCGTAAAGGAAATTAAAAAGCATCTCTTGTGACACGAAAATCGGACACTGCATTGCAAACAAAATTATTGCGCGTTAAACAAGGTGACAGGTCAATCGAAAAGTTTGGTGAAGAATTAGAAACACTTTTTGTTGATCTCACAATTTCGCAAGCCAATGGTAATGACGCAGCATTTGAAATTTTGAAACCATTAAATAAACAAATTGCAATAAAACAGTTCACCATCAATAGTTTACGGAATCAAAATTTGAGTACAATCGTAGCCTCTAGGGATTTTTTTTTTTTTTTATTGAGATTAATGTGTCTCAGCATATCAGAGGCCATTGACACAGATACAGTTGTGTATAAGTTTATAGGCTAATGGTATATTACATTATATTTGTGAAGCAAGGGTTCATATTTTGGAGCTGTAATTGGTGTTATTTAGATATCTGAGAACTTTGTTTATCTGGTTCGGTGAGTTGAGGGCTTCATCCAGGGTGTTTGAGAGACCAAGCTGACTTCTCGTGTGTGAGTGAAGCTGACATTCCATTAGAAGATGTTTGACGGATAACGCGCTGTTGCATAGGTGGAGGTTCTGAATTCATCAAGTGTCTGTGTGTGAGATTTGTGTGTCCAATTCGAAGTCTTCGGATTGATTATTTTATCTCTTCTTGTTAATGGAGGGAGGTGAAAAGGCTTGACAGATTTCCGTATCTCGTATAGCTTAGACGGGATTCTGGACCAGTGTTCTTACCATGTTAGGTGTATCTTATCCTTGAAGAAGTTTTTCTGATCTTTGTATAATTGGATTCCTTCGGTAGGGAGGTTTGCTATTGATGCTTCTTTTGCTGCACAATCTGCTAGTTCGTTCCCAGTAATGCCGACGTGGGAGGGAACCCATAGTAGGGTTACGTTTACTCCTACAGAGAGAAGCTGCTGGCAGCGTTCGTGTATAGACTGGACTAGGGAATGTGAACTGTAGATGTTTTGAATGGATTTGATTGAGGCGGAAGAATCAGTACATATTGCAACTGTTTTGGAGTCCTGAGTTAGAGAGTTGCACGCTTGGAGTATAGCAAATAATTCTCCAGTATGAATACTGCAAAAGGCAGAGAGGGCGTTTGAGGAAACAGTTCTATGGGAGAGAGAAACTGAGCATCCTACCGCATTGCTGTTTTTAGAGGAGTCAGTGTAAAGCACTTGATCGAATTTTGACTTATGCATGAGGTCTAGGAAGTTGTGTCTTATGAGTTCGTTGGGCGTGTCGTGTTTGGAGTAATTATTTAGATTCATGTTAGTTTTTGGTAAACATTTTTTCCCATGGAGGGGTTGCAGCGCTAGTGATATGTGTCGTCTGCTTAAGGTCAATGTTGAAAAGAAGAGATGGCAGGATGTAACTGACTGGTTGGGTTCTTTTGGGGGTGTTGACGTTTATGTTTCTCTTGAGTATAACTGTGTAGGCTGGATTTAGTGGGTTT